TATATATATATATATATATATATATATATATATATATATACTGTATATTTGGTGATTGACTAACTGTTATAATCTAACTTTGAGAACTGGTTCTAAAAAATGGTGGCACAGCAGACTTGGTCTTGTAAGCTTTGATTAGGCAAGAGAAAGGCCAACAAATCAAATTAGCAATCCTTAGAAATAAAATATCAACACATCTTTTGGCTGGTTTGGAACAGATGAAAATATGTTGAAATTATTTGTCTTTTTACCATTTAAATCTTTAGTTGAAAGTCTGTTGTCACAAGAATAAATGGCACACCAAAGACATGTTCTATTGCTGAAGTTCTTGTTGTTTACATGTTTTTGGTTGGGAGCACCAGATGACCGACATAGAACCTTTCCCAATCACGTGAGCATGTGATGTGACTGTAGACAGATCTGTAAGGTCTGTAGTCTCCTGCGATCCAAAAGCACCATTTGAGTCATTTTTTTGGCTTCTGTGGTTTTCATTCAAGAACAGGGATTTGTCAGTTTAAGTTAATTACTCATCCATCCATCCATCCATCCATCCATTATCTTTACCTGCTTGTTCCATTTTGGGTCATGGGGGTCGCCGGTGCCCATGTCCATCAATCACTATGCTATGCACTATGCACCCTAGAGGGGTCGCAAGTTCATCACAGGGCCACATAGAGACAAACAAACATTCAATCTCTCACTCACACCTAGGGACAATTTAGAGTTACCAATCAGCTTAACATGCATGTTTTTGGCCTGTGGGAGGAAACCGGAGTACCCGGAGAAAACCCACGCATGCACGGAGAGATGATGCAAACTCCACCCAGAAATGCCCCTGGACCGGGGTTTGAACCAAGGACCTGCTCGCTGAGAGGCAGCAGCTCTACCAGTTGCACCACCATGCTGCCCGTTAATTATTCATAACAGCTTTCAATTTTTTTTTTTTTAGCTTCATTGTGAGACAGTGAATTAAGAAAGGAGCGAACAATGCCCCAAAGACCCATCTCTGCCTGATGCCCTCAACAAGTTCTATGCATGCTTTGAAGACCCGAAAAGATCACCCAGCACCAGGTTCACCATACCACTGGATGAAGAGCATCTCAGCGTGACCTCAGCTGAAGTAAGGTGTACTTTCAGGAGGTTTAATCTGCACAAGGCAATCGGCCCAGACATCATCCCCGGAAAAGTGTTGAAAGAATGTGCCGATCAGCTCTACGAGGTGCTGGCAGACATCTTTAACACCTCACTGACCCTGGAGACAGTTCCCACCTGTCTGAAGACTGCCACCCTCATCCCAGTCCCAAAAAGCTCTACAGTGACTGGTTTGAATGACTATCGGCCAGTGGCCCTCACCCCGATAGTCGCTAAATGCTTTGAAAAACTGGTCATGACTCACATCAAAACAACCATCAACATCAACGAGGACCCTCATTAGTATGCATACCGCGAGAACCGATCAACAGAGGATGCCATCTCCTCTGTGGTCCACACTGTTCTCAACCACCTGGAGCAGAAAAACTCTTACGTCCGTATGCTCTTTGTGGACTTCACATCTGCCTTCAACACAACGATCCCCCCCAAACTTTGATGGACAAACTATTCACACTAGAATTAAGCCCCTCCATTTGCAACTGGGTACTAGACTTCTTAACAAACAGACCACAGTTAGTGAGGATCCACAACTTCTCCTCCTCCACCATAACCCTCAGCACTGGCTCTCCTCAGGGATGTGTGTTCAGCCCCCTCCTGTTTACTCTGCTCACGTATAATTGTGTAGCTACCCATCCAGGCTGTCACATTGTAAAGTTTGCAGATGATACAGCGGTGGTGGGATGCATCACAAACAATGATGAGTCCAGCTACAGGAAAGAGGTGGAACACCTGGAGAGCTGGTGCAAAGAGAATAACCTTCACATCAATGTGAAGAAGACAAAGGAAATGATTGTGGACTTCAGAAGGAACAAAAACACCTACACCCCCCTGAACATAAGAGGATCTGCAGTGGAAGTGGTCTCCAGCTACAAGTACTTGGGTGTACACATGACCTCAGCTGGAGCAACAACACCACCAGCCTGATCAAGAAAGCTCATCAGAGACTCTACTTCCTCAGGTGGCTGAGACGAGCTGGTCTGGGAAGCTCAGTCCTCACCTCCTTCTATAGGGGTGTGCAGTGGAGAGCATCCTGTGCTCAAGCATCAATGTGTGACATGGAGGCTGCACAGTTGCAGAAAGAAAAGCTTTGCAGAGAGTGGTGAAGGCTGCACAGAAGTCTGATGGAGTCAGTCTCCCCACCATCACAGACATTTACACCTCCAGATGCAGGAAGAGGGCCACTTGCATCATGAAGGACCTCACTCACCCAGCACACACACTTTTTGCCCCGCTCCCCTCTGGAAGGAGGTTGAGGAGCATTAAGTGTAGAACCACTAGACTGAGGAACAGCTTCTACCCTGAGGCTGTTAGACTCATGAATATCTAACCAGGATAATCACTGTGAAAAAAATCACATCATGTTGCTGCTGATCTGTTTCAATGTCGCTGCTGATCTGTTTCAATGTTGATGTGTTCATGCGCGATCATCTGCTTACACAGACTCATTTTCATGTTTGTGCTGATGTTCGACGTAATGTTTTTATGTTATTAGTGCTTAGTGTTTATTTAGTTGATGTTTTTTCTTAGTTCATATCTTAGATGTTATCAGTGTTTTTTTTTTTATATTTTATTGTTGGATGTAACTGGGACCCTGTGTACATAATTTCGCTCCACCACATATATCACATGAGGTGCGAATGACAATAAAGAATCTCTGACTCTGACTCAGTGAATGCCACAAGCTGCAGATTAGACAATAATTATAATACTCCATATACAGTATGCAATATTTTTTCATAGACAATACATTTCCTCAGATCCCAGCAAACATTCAATGGCTCACACTTGCACCTAGGGCCAAATGAAAGTCACAAGTTAACCCAACATTCATGTTTTTAGACTGTAGAAGGAAACCATAGTCTCAGCAAAAAACTCATGCATGCAGGGGGCGAAACATGCCAACTTCATACAGGAAGGCTCCAGCTGAGACTTAAACCCAGGACAAATATTGCTGCAAACAGTCTAGCACTCAACTTGGAAGCCCTTTGTATTAAAGAGGTAGATAAATGATGTTAACTGTTAAAACATATAAACCTGACATACGGGAGGTGTCAGAACCTGTCGAGGCTTCATCATCCACCGTGTCGTCCTCTTCTGTATCTTGTCCCTCTTTACCCAAGTCTGGGTCCATCTGGTCGGACGGGTTGACCCAGTGCCCCGGCATGAGAGCAGCAGAGTCGTAGGAGGAGCACAAAGGGCCCACAATGTGAGTGATGAAAGATTCCTGCAGCTTGGCGAGCTGCGGGGTGGACCGATCCATGAATGGGCTGATGGGAAGACCCAGGGCTGATTCTTCATCACCCTGTTGGGACAAAAAAAGGCATTTTGTAAGAGGCATGGAGAAAAGAGAAGATAAAGGTGCTGGAATATAAATGTAACATACTTTATATTCACAATATTTATCATTTAGGACAACATTTTCTCTGCGAGCACATCATATGAGACCGCACATTAACTTTGAGCATATAATATGATGGCCCACAGGCAAAGGTGAAAGATAATTGTTATACCAGTGTCTGTGCATGTCTGTTACCAATCTACATGTTATCATAGCTCAAAAACACTGATCAAAATTTTAAAAAGAATCATTGGATGTGCTTGTAAAACATGGACCTTAGACCCTGGAAGATTTTGAGACAAACCAATGCAAGATGGCTGCTGCAGCCACCAGACACAACAACGGACATAACTCTGTCAAGTTTACAGATTTTCAGATGAAGAAGTAGTAGATCGAGTCCAGACTCATATTTTGAGTGTTAACAAACTGTGCAAAATCTCCGTTGACATTTTTAAATTAGACAAATTATAATCAAGCTTTCAGGAAATATTCATTAGATGTATATATATCTGCAAGTGGTTTACTTTTGGAATCAACCCAATTTAAGATCACAACCAAGTGACCTTAAAAAAGACAAAGTACTATAATTCCATCAATATTGCATAGAATGGGCAAACATTGGTTGTGTTTGTAGCTGAGAAGCTTACACAACACAAAATCTAAATGCTACTTGTGCAGGATCTTTGCTTAAAACGTCAGGATTAACTGATGGAGTTGTTTGTCTGTTAGCAACATATTTCATGAACCATTCATAAAATTCTGTCAATTTTGCAGAAATTTAACTAAAATTTGATGCAGTCCATTTGATGTAGACCATCCATTTATTATCTTTACTCTCTTCTTCCTTTCCAGGTTGCGGGGGGCACTGGTGCCCATGAACAGCAGTCACTGTGCAAGAGGCGGAGGACACTCTGGACAGGTCATACGTCCATCAGAGGGACACAAACGAGACAAACAACCATTCACTCTCTCACCCTAGAGACTATTTAGAGTCACAAATCAGTCTAACATGCATGTTTTTGGTCTGTGGGAGGAAACTGGAGTACCCGGAGAAAACCCACATGGGCTCAAAGAGATTATGGAAACACCACCCAGAAAGGCCATGGGCTGGGATTTGATTGGGGACCCTTGTTGCTGTGAGGCGGCAGCTCTACCAACTGTGCCACCATGCCACCAAGATTTGACCAAAGCAGCTATAACTCTGTCATTTTTCAACTAAGGTGATCTTAGTTTAAAACTCTGCTGTGAAAGGGGCAATGTGCATTTTAAAGGAATGTTAGATTATTTTTATCTATATTAATTCTCTCACTTTATGTAACAATTATACAGCTTCGTCTAATACACATGCAGACATATTAACTTAAAACAGGATTTTGGTTGTTTACAATCTAAATCAGTTTTATATCATAATTCATAGAACGTTATTCTGAAATTATCTGAATACAATATTTGAAAAGGATATTTAGTAAAAAAAAAAAAAAAAATAGGCTGTACTGTTTTGTATTAAGTACGCAGTAAATAAGTTTAGAATGTTTTCAGGCAAACGTAGATGAACTCTCCCAGTGAGATAAAATAGATACACAGCCTGCGGGAGCAGACTCCTGAAACTAGGTCAAGAAGACTACAAATAGAGGAAGATCACTTCAAACTGTAGCTAATCTGTTCCTCCAAATGAGACTGAGATTTCACACACCAAATCTACAATTTGTGTCCAAATAAACCTTAGCAGAAAATATTCAGACACATTTGGTGACTTCTAACATTATATCACAGACTGCAGCCATGTTCCTTGAGCCTTTCTGCTTCTCTGCTTCTTGAGATCTTGTTCCAACGTCTTCTGTGTATAATTTTCCATCAACAAACACGACTAAATGCAAACATTTAAAAAGGAAATGAGGAATTCATTCTGCTGACTGAATCCCAGGCTCTGCTGACCTTTTGTATTTTTTTTATTTTCACACACCGTAACATGCATAGATGGAAATTTAAGAAATGCGGTTTAAGCTGCAGAACCCAGAACAAAAACTGTGCTTGTAAAATATTGTGACTGTGCATGATTCTGCCTTTATGTACATTGTCTGATGTTGGAGTTTTTGAGCTGTTAAAAAAGGAGGGGCAAGAAATGTGATTGCTATGGTAACCAAAAGCCTGGATGGCGTCAGCGGTTGTTGTGAGATGTATGTATGTGAAGTCAGCGTGTTCAGAGAGAGAGAGAGAAATGGTCTGATAACCAGATATGACAAAACCTTTTGTGTGTGGAAGTGATGCGCCACAGAGCACAAAACAAATGTGTGTTTGTTTTCCTTTGACCCGACTCTGCTGAGCTGGAGAGAGCGCAAGAAAATCTGTGATATTCCTCAGTGGGTGTGAATGGGAGCTGTTAAAGATGGCACATTTAGGTCACCCACCTCCCTGGTGAAAAGACAAACACCGAACGCATTCTGTGGTTTGATACTCACTCCAGTACTAGAGCACTTCTGAACAGAGATTTTACACGTCTGACACATTTTCTTCATTACAACTGCATAAACACTCATACCAACACTGACTTTACCAACTGCAAAAATTAAAATGTCTGAAAATAAACATTTATTACAGCCTACGTCACGTGTTTTACATGACTGAAGACTGCAGAGACAGCAGAGGAGAAAACATCAGAACGAGCCTAAAAGTTTCAGATCGGGGATTTTCTGTTTACAATATCGTTGCTAGGTGATATTTCTATCTTTGCCATTAATCGGGTTTTTATCTTTATGGTCTTGTTAGTTCAGAGAAGGATTTGTTGCTAGGCAGCCATCCACATTGACCAATTCATGAGACGGTAAGTGTTTTGAATATTCTATTTTAGACGGGGGGAACATGCATTTTACACACAAAGGTTTTTTTTTTTTTGAAGCGTCCTTAAGCAGAAAACTACTTGTCATCTGCAGATGGACATGTTCTGTAGTGACGCTTGAACCTGTGCAAAAGGACAAACTTGCTTGTTGAATATCAGATTTTTCATAAATATCTTTAACAATTGAAATAATGTGTCTTTTATGTTATTTGACAGACTTGAATTTTAAATGGGAAGTGGAAAATGTGTTTGATCAAGGTTTATATTTTAATTTGTTATTTGCCAAATCCTGCAATCCTTATTAGATTTATTTTACTTAAATATGACTTAGCATCTTAATTGTAGTTATAACTAATGCAAAAATACATTCCTTGTTTGCACCGAATACATTTTTTATGATGGCAAATATTTAATTTTGTTGAGCCTCTACCAAAAGCCCAAATATCACTATTTCAAAAATAGATTTTAAATGCCATATTTTTCTCTGTTTATAGTTTTTCTTCATCATCATCATCATCATCATCATCACATTCTAACAAACACACTGCAATAGCCACGCTGCACCACTAGGTGGCGATAACATCCATGTTACAATCCATTTTATTACAGAGAAGGAACATGCTGAACTTAGCTAAAAGTTCTCCCCAAGTTTTTATTTATTTAATTAAATGTTTACCATTTCCTCTAATACACAAAATTGGGATAAAGCAAAGCAGACCTGGAAAGAACAGTAAAAATCAGCTTTATGTTTGTGTTTCTGGGGCACAAAGTGTTAGGTGCATGCACAAAGTAGGCTGCTATACTGTGACGTGCATCCAGGAAAGGCAGGTGAGGCACCTGTCATCATGACAAATAAAATACTAACAATGATAAGAGAAAATACATTTGACCACTTCACTGTTTATAAAACTGTTTTATAAAACTGTTTTCTGAATTATTTCAACACTTCAATGGTCAAAATCGCAGAATTTATGCATTGCCTGTTCAAACAATGCAGGGTGAGGCAGTGTAGTGCTCTGGTTCACCTCTGGGGGCGCTGTGTCATATAAAAAGGTGATTGGAGCATGCCCATTGCTGTCTCTCTTTATATCGTCAATATATGTTTGATTACACATGTGCTGCACATGCTGATGTTCTACAGTCTAATATGTTGAATAAATGTGTGTGAAATATTTCTTCTTTCTAATCGGTCATAAATGCACAATGAAAATACACAGGGTGAGGCAGAAAGTGCCGTGCCGCACTGATAGGGGGCAGTGCTGTCCCATGGGGGCAATGAAATGCTGCTGTGCGCTCTTCTGTTATGCAGAGGGGCTGGGGTAGAAGATCATATCTCAAAACTAAAGGATTTTTCTAAACTCATCATCCTTTTTCCAAACTCATTCATCTTAAAATAAAGGTAAGATAATATGTATTTATTTATTTATTTAAAAAGAGAGGAGTGTGGAGTTGATTAAAACATAATTAGATCCCTTTAAAAAAAAAAGGCTAAATTGGAATATAATCTTCTATTTTGGATTCATATATGTGAGCATCCGATTCCAGATGACTCAGTGCCTCACCTGTCACAAACCTCACTGCACGTCACTGCTGCTACGTCATAAATTCTGAAAAATTCTATATCTCCTGATTTTAAAAACACCCAAAGCAGTGTGGATATGACCTTAACTTTCCCTAATTTACACTCTAATGATAAATGACACATTTGCCAAAATGATACAAGCTGCGAAGGTAAGAAAATAAAAGATAATAGAATCTGGTTGCCATGGTGATTCTCGCCTTTTCCAGAAAGCAGAGGAAAGGAGGAGCAGACGACTCTTTTTATTAGTTGTATTTTTCCAATGTTTATGTCATTTGTATGATGAAATTCATTCATTCAACCTTTATTTAAACAGATAAATCACAATGAGCCTAAAAGACTCGTTTACAAGTGAGACCTGTTTGGACAGACAAAAAAAAAATTCTAACGTCTTTCAGAGTACAGTTAATTTGTGGAAAATTTTCACCAACTTACTTGTTCATAGAATTCATTGACAATCCCCTCTGTCCATTGCAGATGTAGCTCCTTACACTTCAGAGGTCCATTGACATCCGCTAGCTTGATGCACATCTGGCACACCAACAATCGGTCATTCTCGTTGGTCCAGTCAATACCAGACACTACTTCATCACCCACCTGAGGATACAGGAAAGTAAAAGTAAAGTGATTCTCCTCAGACTGGGACAATCCAAAAGAATTTCTTAAAAATTATATAGATCTTTTAAAAAAAATAAGCTAAATGAATACATTATGATTCATTGCTCATTAGACATAATTGATGGTTGGTCTGGTGACATTTTCAACTGTTTATAAAAACAGCCTGGTGTGTTTACCTTTGCATTAAATTCTGCGAGGAAGTCAAAGTGCTTTTTGAGGTCAGTGGCCAGAATAGCCTCGATGACAAGGAAGCGGAATCGCTTGAACTCCACGTGTTCAAGGTTGACCAGGAAGTTGTACTCGGGTCGAGACATGAAGAGGTTCCAAGCTGCAGCTGCGTGATGGTTTTCCAGGACTGATCTGTCGTTGTACAGAAGAGCCTGAAAAAGGACGAATAACATGCAAATACAGTTGTTGTTTCAGCTTCTCTCTTCTGCAGGGGTCATCCCAGCGAGTGAACATGCATGAAAGACTTGCCAATTGTTTTTACACCAGAAGCTCATCCTGATTTATAAATTGCTTATTTGCTAAAATTAACAATGCATCCTGTTGTGGCTGCCTAATGCAGACCATGAAGAGTTTCTGATTCATCATAAAGCGTTTGTAAGGCAAAAACAACACAGCAGCTTAGTTTATATTGTAGAGGGATATGGGGCTGGATATATATTGTGAATTATCAGTTATGAGTTAAGCTCATAAAATATGCATTAATTATGCAAATAACCTTGTTGTGGGTGGGCACCACCTCTTTTTAGAGGAAAAATCAGTCTCTAACCCCAAATTAAATGTAAACTGAAACGTGAATTATCTTTTTGTGTTTAAAGGGCATCAAATCAGTTAACACACACAGATATGCCAAAATAATCACAAAGTCAGTTGATTTTATGTATTTTATTACAAAAAATTATAATCTGTGATATATCTGATGAAGATTATGCATAACAAACAAATGAATAACAAATAGCTTTGTATCAAAGATCTACTTGATTATTCAAATCAGTGAAACTTAAAAAAGGCAGATTTTGGACTGGTTCTGTTTGTGGAGTAGTTAAAATTGTGTCTAAAGTGAGCTGTAAATTGTCTGATAAGATTATTGTGATGTATGATCACCAGAAAGTGCATTGAAGAGTCTCTCTCACCAGAACGAGATGTCAGAATGTTCCACAGCTGCTTAAAATAATACCAGCAAGACCTGAGATGCTCCGGTGACTGAGAGGCTGATTTTTTCCTCAAAAGTCACTTATCATCAGTTTGAGGGACGAAGGTCCGGCCACTGGCTCTGAAGTCAGCTGGGATTTACCACTCTGCAGTGTGATGGTTCTGGTTTGGTCAGGTTCTGCTTCTGGTTCTGCAGGGTTTCTTCTGTATCTTTTGTCCCATCTCTGTGCAGAAAGGATGCTTCTCTCCTCTCTGAGTTCAGTGCAGAAAACTGGGTTTCTTCATTTCTTAGCTCCAGAAGCGTGTAGCAGAAGTTGAGAAGTAGATGTGCTTGTAGAAGAAGTCGAAGACGAAGAAAAAGTGATTGAAAAAGAAGTGAAACTTAACTTAACTGTATGTGTGTTTCAGATTGACTTTAGTCCACCTCTCAGAAGAGGGATGGTCCTAACTCCTGTCATGTTTTATAAAATCTAAAGTCCATTTTCTCTGTCTGCCTTTAAAAGTTATTCTTTCAAAAGAGACAAATAAGAAAAATGATCATCTTAAAGAGAGATTACTTAAAACACACATTTTCATAAATAAACATTCAGTTATGAAAAAAAAAGCAGAAAATGACATTTTGGGGCTAATAGCAGGCAATGTTTCTCCAAAAGGTGTTGATGTCCATCCCTTGAAAAGTAAATGTCATTAAACAAAGGGGTTCTCATGGTGCTATCTTCATGGGAACCCATCCTGGGAGTAATACTCCTTTATGATAAAGGTAAAGTTTCAGCAGATGTTTCAACTTGGAGGTCAGTTGAACCAAATCTCATTAAAACGATCTGTCCGTTTCATGGGAAATGAGTTCGTATTGGCAGTGAAGTTGACACAGTTTTTATTTTTATTTTATTAAACTTTCATTAGTGTCAACTAAGAAGTTAGTGAGCTGAGCTGGACACCTGTAAGGCAAAGTCTGTTTGTTCCCAAGGGAATAGATGCATCTTATTTGAAACAGTTTCAAACACAAAACACATGAATGATGTTTGTTTGAGATGAGGTGAACTCTTTTTCTGTTTAAGCTGAGATGAACTGTTTTCTGAGATGATGTGTTCTTTTTCCGAGGTGGTGTTCCCCTACAATCTTGTGTTGTGAAGAACTTTTATTAGTTTAAATTCATACTCTAATTACCGTATTTTCCGGCGTGTAAGTCGCTCCGGAGTATAAGCCGCATCAGTCACATCAGTCACAAAAAGCATCATGAAGAGGAAAAAAACATGTATAAATCGCTTCCGTGTTTAAGTCGCATTTATTATGCATCACCGCTGACCCGTCACGTTTATTATGCATTTATTTAATGGTTAAAACAGCTTCATTTCACCGGCACAGCGTCATCCATCCATCCATCCATCCATCCACCCATCCATCACAGCCTGCACCAGCTGAGTGAAGCGAGTGGGCAAGGGAGGACTCACTGTTGCAGTTTTTCGGAATTTAAAGTGTCAGTCAAAATTGCATTATGAATAGGGAAAAAAAATGTATATAAGTTGCTTCGGCGTATAAGTCGCAGGACAGACGTATCTATGCAAAACATGGTGACTTACACACTGAAAAATACGGTAGTGTTTTAGGAATGCAACCAATCCCAATTGAGGATGTGATTGTTTGTTGTAAAGACTTCAATATGAGCTCCTCATTATCTCTCACGTTTACTCGTCTGTGATCCATCACCCAAAGTTCAGACTCATCCATTCCACTTCCTTTATTACCTGCGGTGCACTTGTAGCCACCAGAAAGGCGTTTGTTCTTCCAGGGTGGTCGTAGTCATGCATGGCGGCAGCGACATACAGGGCCATGAGCTCCAGGGCTGGGACCAGACCAGCCAGGGAACCGTAGCCCTCCTCGAGCAATGAGTTCATTTTGGACAGCAGAAATCCTGATGCTCCTGACATAATGCTGCTTACAGAGTCTAAAAACAGAAAATAAAAACTGATTAAAAAAATACTGATTTAAACAACTTTCATTTAGACTTGACAGAGTTTTTCCCATTTCCCTTATTCACTGATATATGTAACTTAACATTTCACTTCCCAACAAGAGAGATAAGAAAACATTAAGGAAACGGTACTGAAATTACATTACATATATTGATGCACCAGTAAGCATAAGTGCAGGAGAGTTACTGTCCTGATTATTAGGCTGTTTCTATTGCAGCATTATTCAAAAGACTTTCCTGTTTTTATACTTTTACTCTTTGACTGAAGGTCTGATTGTCTGCCTTGCATGTGTGAACAAATTTCTCACTGATTTTATCTGCAAACTTCAAACAGTACAGTTTCTTCTTGAGACATTTGCATATTATGAGGAAAACATCAAATTTAGGTTAAACACATTTTACAAAGAGAGGACAATCCTGAGTTTAAACTATAAGAAGTTACTGGTTCGTTATAAAGTCCTCACCGGTGTGTATTCCGTTCTCTGTGGGCAGGGTGGGCAGGCCCGGCACAGGCTGAGTGGTGAGGTACCAGACAGCTTGCAGAACATCAGTCGCATGGATTCGATTGTGATCTGAGAGAATTAAACAAAAAGGGTAAATCCCATGGGTTTGGTACTAAAGAGCACAGGTAATCTCCAGCAAAAGAGTTACTTTAAAACTGTCAGTTGACTGTGTCATCTTATTTTGCTGCCAGAAAATATTGTGTGTTGTTCTCAAACTTTACTGTATTAAGTTACGTTTGTGCATTATTTATGACAGAAATATATAAATATATGAAAGAGACAATATAATGATGATTGATAGCAAAATGTGTCCCAATAAAGAGAAAAAAAAAAGATTTTGATTTTGTCAAGTAAAATGAACCAAAACAAGAACAAAACAAAAGTCATTGGAAAGGTTTGTGTGCAAAATAGTATTTTGCAGCCACTCAGTTGTTAATTTCATGTAAAGCACAGAAAGTACAATGACTTTTTCCTTCACAGTAGAAAATGAAGAAGAAATAAAGTTCATATTTTAGAGTTTGACATGAGCTCATTCTGTTTAGTTGGAAAAAAAAAGATTAATAATAATTTATACAGAATCTGCACATTTTTGAGTGTGGTTTGTTCAGTAAAAGAGGAATAAAAGAACGTACCTGTGTTAAAACCAAACCATTCTTATATTATTTTATGCACAACTCAAATAAATAAATATAACAACTCACTTTGAAACTAGTCTTTCAATTTTCACAAACACATAAAAAGCTGAGCCTGTTTGTTTACTTTAAAAAGCCACGAGGTTGGAACTAAATACATATTTGACATTAATCTGATTACAATCACCTGAAAATTATTACAAATGGCTGACTGAAAACTAAAACATCTGACAGCACCTGATTTTTAAAATGTTCAGATTGAAAAGACAACACAAGAAATTTTTTATTTTATTAATAATTGGGATCTTGAAATTACATTATTATTGAAGTTATGTTATAAACAGCTTAATTTTTCTAAGAGGAATTCTAATCTCTCTCTCAATCTCTCTTACTCTCTCTCTCTCTCTCTCTCTCTCTCTCTCTATATATATATATATATATATATATATATATATATATATATATATATATA